TTATTGACAATTTTATTGTAATAATTAGGTGTTTACACAGCCTGGACACTGTGGCTAAATCACTCCGAGCGCGTTTATTTGCAGGGAGCTGTTTCGTGGCCACGGCGGCAGGTTCATTAAGAAGACATACTGTATTAGGGTTCAGAACGACAACCAGCTCCGTGCTCTCCTCCTCCGTTTTCCATTTACAAAAAAACAACAATCTCAAAACAAACAAAAAAACCCAACCCTACAAATAATGAAGTCAAATACAGAATTCCCTTTGTAAGGAAGACATCTTCCCTCAAGGGCCCCAAATAGCTTGAAAATAAATCTTATATTGAGTATCTTAATACACAGCCTGAGAGAGACCACCTTTAATGACCATAACTAGCTTTTAATGCCCGGTGTGTAAATGGCAATCTGTTTTGGACTAAGAATAAATTATAACACAGTATTAGGGAAGCTCTTGCTTCACCCTTTCTTAAAAAAAGAAAAACCACAACAATATTTATTTTAGATGAGAGTTTTCTCTTCAGTATATCTTGAAAGAGAAAAACCTCATGTAGAGAGAAATATTTCTCTTAAGCAGTCTCAAACCGGATTAATGGATCAAAATTGCACACTTGAATAATTTGACTAAATTTAAACTCTCTTCATGGCTCTCTTCCATTAATTTTTTGTGCTCCTATACTAATCTTTAATGTGTTGCTCTGACATGGTTTTCATATTTCCAAACTGAGCTAAAATGGAAATGACAGATTTTCAGTTATGCAAAAATAGCAATGAAGTGCCAGGGAAAAGATGTGAACAAAATAATCTTTAGAAAAGATATGAAATGGGAACAGTTTTATAGCATGATATGGATCCAATCACAGAAGCATATTTGGGGCAATTACATCAATTTTTAAAATTTAAAAACTGTTTAAAAATTAAGGCACTAAATGCTAAGCTATAATGAGTTTCTAGCCTTCATATACTTCCATTAGAATTAAGTAGTAATCAATATAGAGTATTTATTGCTATAAACCACAGCACCAGAGGAAGTAAAAATTCTCTACTGCAATCGTTTAGGAAGAGGGGGAAAGTTTTAGGAATGGCCTGATTTTTACTTTAATCACAGTTACCATGGTTTATTGTGCCCCAACTACGTTCCTTTACCCAAAGAGTATAGTAATGAACATACATTGTGAAAGTAATAATTTCCCCATAGAGGTTAAGATAGTAAGAGAAGCTTTCATATAATTTTAGAAAGCAAATCAAAGGTACACAATATGACTATTTTTTAAAGTTAATGGAATTAATTAATGGCTCAAAATAGTCCAGGAACCACATTACAGAGCACTATTGTAAAGAGAAGTGCTGAACGTTAACTCTATACTGTAATAACATTATCAAATATTTACTGGAATTATATGCTGCATAACATTGTAGATTATATTTACAAGGCTAAAAAATGGAATCTTCAATGATGCTGTATGATAACAAATACATTTGATAATCTTAAATAAACTCAAACTTCCTTTGATATCTACATTTCTAAGTTATTCAAGACATGAGAAATGAATTTTAAAAAATCAGATCATGAAAGCCATTATTATTTGAAGGAATATGCTCAATTTTTTAGATAATTTAAATTATTTAAGAGTCCTTTGCATTTTTTATTAGCTTTGCCTAAAGTTATAACATTAAAGCGTTAAGGTTACATGTAATGATGTTCTGGTTCACCCTTATTTCTAGCCCCATATTTTTACAAAACTACACACGGATTTTAGTGCTAAATTACAAGGCTAATTTGATCAAATAAAATTGTCTTAGTCCTGGACGTGATGCTGAAGAAAATGTTCAACTACAAAGTCTGTCCTCACATGCAAACAACCACAGAAACCCATTTGGAAGAAACACTTCCTAAAGGGAGTAGCTTATGGCCAAAGGGAATCTATACAACATTTTTTTCCGTAGGGTATTCGTTCCAAAAAGGAATGTTCTGCGAAGTCCAACCAACTACAGACAACACAGACCCGAAGCCTGTTATTCAGATTGATCTGAAGCATTTCAATATCAAAGGAAGTTTAATTTTGAAATTTTACAGATAGAAGTAATAACATCTGTTATTGAACTCTCTATTAACAGAATGACCATGGCTTGGAAACCAGATGGCTTGATTCAAAAATGTATTCAAGATCATAGGAGAATGTAATCCCAAACTCCTCTAGGATAACGCACATCAATTCTCGTTATAAAATAGCAAAACCAACAGCTCACTAACATTATCCCAAGCAGCACTGCAGCTAGTGCTGGGTGTTAGATTTTCCCCCCTTGCTTGCTTTTGGTGTGAAGGAGAAATTCTCATTTCATTTCAGTTCTCATACCTTCCGGTGCAGGAAAGCCATATTTAGCGTTGTCACTGATTTTCCCAGGCACCTCCGCATATCATCTCACTGGAGCCTAACTACACCCTGTGTGGTAGAGAGAACAGGTCTCGTATTTTGCAGGCAAGGAAACTTTTTCTCGGGCAGGCATGGTGCAGTAGCTGCGACCAGAATTTGGGTTGACTGCAGGCCTTCCTCCCCCCCCCACCCCCACCCCCACTCTGGGCTGAATACCCCTGGTACAGCTCTGTCCGAAGCTGAAGGAAAGAGCCTAAAGGTGGGGGTCAGCCTGGGCTTCCAGAACTATGCTTCACCATCATCGGCAGCAACTCTGCAAAAGATTCACATTATTCACACACACACACACAGCAATTTGGTTCCCCTGGCACTTAATTCGGTAGCTACAAGCATTTCACCAATTTTCCCCAAATCAATCCTTTCATCAGAACCATTGAAACCCTCTCTTGCCCTCTCTCTACCTTCAAATACACAGAAGAAAGGATCCCCAGTGTGTTTCCAAGCTAGTCTGCTAGGTTCAGCTGTAACAACATTAGAGAATCTTCCTGTTATGTCTTAGGACATGGCTAGTGATTAAACCTGCTAAGAATTGCACCAAGATAAGCTACCTGGGGCTGTTCTCCTTCCCCGAGTTAATGTCCTGCCTGTTTTATTTAGACTGTGAGTCTGCTTAGGAGAGACTGTGTCGAATTCTATGTTTGAAATGTCCCTAGCACGCTGTTGGCACTTAAATGCAATTATTCAAAATGGAATCATTTAATTAGATAGGAAGAAAAACAGCAAGCCCTGCGACGATAACAAAGAATAAAGCAAACACGCTGACCGACGGCAGCAAAGCAACAGCTAGACAGCAATGCACACGCACGAGACAGCGGCGTTGCCACTCCTCCATCGGGAGCACAGAGCAGGGTAAACACAGGGTGACACGCCTCGCTTCTGCTGGGTTCACAGGAAGCAGAGAGAAGGCCTGATATTGACAACTCGGTAGAGTGGCAAGAAGTTTATGCCTCATATGACTTGGGTCCTTGGAGAGACCCGAGGAGGAGGAGGGGAGTGGAGCGGGGAGCGACAGGCCCACAAGTGCCTGAACCGGGAATTAGGAGTGAGTCTCCCATCTGATGGAACAGGTCACTGTACATCACCACCAGCCTCCAATCGCTGAGGAGGGGAAAAAGGATTTTTAAAAAAAGATTTGTTAAAAACCAAACCAAACCAAAACAAAACAAAAAACAACAACACACAGCAGAAGACTTGTTATGGAGCCTGTACAGGCATCATGTAGGTGCCCAAGGAATAGACCTTGTATTTAAATGCTGGATGTGCCAATAGAAGTTCTCCTGAAATGAATTCCTATCTCAACATGCATAAGTCTAATGTAAGACAATGCCATCGGCAGGTTACAAAATTATACAAGTTTTATAATGAAGTTTGCTCGTTGATTGTAAGGTACAAACAGTTAAATAACAATCTTTTAAACTGGTAAAAACAACAACCCACCCAAACCCTGATCAATGTAAACCCTACCCCTTCCCCCCCACCCCACCCCCAAAAAGCAGCTACGTAATTGAAAACTATTTGAGACAGAGGCAGCCAACTATAAGGTCCTTTCCAAGCCTTCCCTAGCAGGTCCTTGGATTTGACTTTGAGGAGGTGGTGAGGTAGCAAAAGGTCCCTTTGGCCCCGTGTCCTCCCTGGACTCTGCTGCCTTGACGGACTTCCTGTTTTCAGCCAGACTCGAAGTTCACGGATAGCTAACTTCCTGCAGTGAAAGTTTCTCCTCCATGTGGGGTGGCAGCTGCTGTGGATTTGACAGTCACCATGGTGTGCTGTCACTTCTAAGTGAGGCAGATCAGGCTGTCCCGTGGTCCATCCTTGAACTCTTCTTTTCACGTGCTCCGAATTATTTTATAAGGATGGTCAATAAGCTTCTATTGGAAAGAACAGAATTAAGTATTTGAATTCGTCACAGTATGGGGAAGCAGAAGGGCGCTGAATTCAAGGGAGGTGGCTGGGTATCTTATTACTCCTGGACCTTGGGATAAATTACTAACTCCTCCCCACCCCCCATTTCCTCATCAGGAAAATGGGAAGAAACAACAGAACTTACCTCAGAGGGTTGTTAGAAGGTTGAAGGAAAAGTGCACAGCATGACAAGTAGTAAAGAGTTAATGTTGGCCACTGCTATGACTGGTCTGATTTAAACTGTTATCCTCATTCTGACTGGAAGTTAAAGACACAGGGTTTTCTAGGTGGATTCCCAGGGGACCCGGGAGGGGAGGCTGTCTCCGGGAATCTGCATTTTGTTGGAACTTTCTCGTCCTCTGAAGCGGTCAGCCTTAATTGGCGTGCGTTGGTGTCCTTAATGTCCTCCTTTGAGAGTCCCCGTGTGACCCCTTCCTCAAAGAAGAGGCAAGCTGCTGCTCCAGCTACCGAACGGCACCTGCTTTTACTCTAGCAGGAGTGGGGATTTTCTATTACAGAGTTGAGGCCAACATATAGACCACAGACCCGTGCTGTTCTGGGTTACCTCTCCGAGGAATGGCGGATAACAGAGAAAACTGTGGAGAGAGAAACCGAGGGAACTTTCCAAGGTTCCCACATCACAGAAAGCACTCGGGAGGTGGGCTTTTGGGCGATTTTGCAGTTTTTTGGCTCAGCCTAGAGCCTTTCCCAGTGCGACAGACCTAAGCTGAGCACAGGTGTGACTAAGGCTACTTCTGGCCCTTAAGGTTCCTGCCACCATGGGGACTCAAAGCGCTCAAGTTAACATAACCATACATCTTTAAAGAAATAGGGAGGAGAGGTTAAAAAAAAAAGACAAAAGTTGGATAATGGTTGGCTTTGGCAACAACTGTGAAACTTCCCACTTTGGGGAATTCCTTTTTGATCCATCCCAGGTGACAGCTAGAGTGCTTCCAGGAGGGGAGGCACCTGCTGGCCCAGGTGGCAGGTGCGACAGCAGTGGCTGGGGACGTGCTGGGAAGGGAAGCTGGGCCAGGTCACTGGCCCGAGGCTGCCTGAGTGGCCTGCGCCTTCTTTGAAAGTGACAACACTAAACATCGCACTCACTGCCACTTTGTTATGCACAATCTCACTCAACTCAGTCGCCAACAATCCAATCCAACCCACTTGTTGATGGCATTGTGGGGACAACGAAGCTGCTTTTAAAGTCTCAGTAAAGGAATGATTTTTTGACGTAGAGAATGTTGTCAGAAAGCCAATGTAACAACCGACAGGGGCATTTTCCCTACTAGGCATAGAAATCTACTCTTCTTAAATCGCAGGGCTTGAGATACTGGGGGGCAGGGCTGCAAATCAGTTGATTAAAAATTATTCACTGGATACGCACCATATAGTCTGAAGTACCCTGGTGGCCCTAAGTCATACCTTTGTGACCAAGTAATGGTAGAGCAGTTTCTACCAGGGAAAGCCAGAAAAAGCCCCTTCCACACAATATTAGTGAAATGCTGTTCCCTGTTACTGTGATCATATACTTTTTACCAGTATTTACCTCATCACAGCAAAACGTTACACTATCAGGGGTTCGAACAGACGTAGAGGAAATCAGCCATAGACGGGGGTGGTAATCCTGGCGGAAGCCGAGGGCGTCTGGGATTCCTGGTTCCTGATCCAGGCGATCACCTGCATGGTGCAGGTGAAGTTTGTAGAAAGACACTTTAATAATATACTACTTTTTGTTTCTCTGCATTTCGGAATACTCAGGATTTTACCAACAACTCGGGCCATTTTAGCAAATGTTTTTATGTTCTATATATTAATATATTCCTTCAACCTCTGAGTGAAGCTGTATTTTCTATGGTTGAATCCTGTTTTAATCTCCACCACACCTCCTTTACCACATGGATCGCTTTTCAATATTCTTGAATCTATGGGAATCAAGAAAAGTAAAAGGCTCTCTATAGTTTGTGTCTGTATCTCCACTCAACAACTGAGATACAAACAATCGATTCACCTGAAGTTTAGAAGTACTTTACTCAGTTTTCAAACTCTCACAATGCTTCACTCAGTCTCGCTGATGAAGTTCAAGCTTTTAAACAACACATATGTTAGGGCCAGTTTTCTTATAGTGGCTGAATGGCTAATTTATAACTGGGTTCTCGGTTCTGTTTTTAATCATGACCCTGCAAGGGACCAGACTCTCTGAAGTGGATGGGAATCGATCAGACTGGAGAAAACAGAGAAAACATAGAAAGAGACCTGTGAGAGTCTTGAATGGAAACATTTCAGAAACAACTGAATGGGATCTCTACTCTTTATGGAAGGCTACCCTCAACATGTTTGCACACCAGTAGCAACCCCTCCCCACATATACCTATATTTCACCTACAGATGGGTGAGAAGTGATTACCTATGATCCTATAATACTTTACATAATTACCTGTAATTAAATGAGTGCAAGGTAAAAATAATTGACTTAAAATAATATAAAGTATTGATAACAATTACTAGGCTAAATAGGATTCTTTTTTTCATAAAAGGAAGTGTCATAGGCAACCAAGCGGCAAAAAGAGAATGGAGTGAGATGTGGTTAAGGGTACGTCCTTATAGCAATGAACGTCATTTGTATTATCCTTACTTCTTTGAATAAATTCTGATGACAGCCCTATTTCATTTCTTCATTCACTTTGGAGGCCAGATGGCATTAGAATCATTTACTTCACCTTGTTGTGCTTAATTACTACAATCAACACACTATTTTCCAAATTAATCATAACAAAGTAATTTCATTAGTAACACAGCAGGCTGTTGAATTATTAGCATCATAACAGTTTGCAAACAATTAAACTTTATTTGAACCTTAAAAATTTGCAGAGTGGAACATTATTGTAAGATCTAATGGCAATAGAGTACAAATTCAGTACAGTGCAAATAATCAAGCAAAATGCTATATAAAATATGACTTACAATCACCTTTGGAAAAAAATAGCTCTCTAACTGTTCATAGAAAAACAAATAAAAGCTAAGCAAACATAATGAGAACATAGCAATTAGCACATTTTCTAACAAGCCATGTTGTTTAGATTCACATTAATTATATTATTATGATTTGAAGAGTGTGTGATATATTGTCAAGGGTGTAAGGAAAACTTTCTCCCTGGTAGTATACAGAAGATTTCACCAAATGAATATAAAGTTGTCATGAACTGAAAGCAATGATTACTTTTCCTGTCACTCCAGTTTGAAATCTTGGTTTTCTTTCCTATCTCCCACCTGGATTCCAGTTAAAAAAGAACAAAGGCCAGAGGAGCTCAGGCAGAGGCCACACTAGATTTCTGGATCGCCACGTTCAAAGGGAGACTGTCTGGCTTGGAATCGCTGGTCATCCGTTGGCGAAGGACTCCCTCTCCTGGATTAACTGTAAAAGGAGGCAGCGAGGTTCTACACGCTCTGCATTCTGCGGGGCTTTGGGCCCAAGTGGGGGAGGGCTTCTCAGTGGCTGGGTGTGCAATGAAAAGCTGCTGCCACCTACTGGCCCAGGGCTACAATCTTCCCTGAAGCCAGAAGCAGGAAACCTGTGTCCACGCCACCAGCAAGTCCACGTTTTGTGGAAACCCACCACTGCTTTTGCTTTTCAACCTCTAGGGCTTCGAAAACCAGCCCGGTAGCCTCACCTCCGCTTGTCTTACTTTTCCCAAGATGATTTCACTCTACCCCAATGCTCTCTATTAGGACCATATTAACAAGTGCACAAATTCACATCTGAAAGCTTGAGCTCAACAATGTCTAATTTATATAAACTGGAGTTTACTTGCAATCCCTAAAATTAATATTCTTTAACATCTGAGGTGACATGATCGTGGCGTTAAGGCGATAATGGTAGATATACACTCTGAAATAGTGCCTGTAAACAGTTTTATGTAAATAATGGAGGTTTTTAAATGTTATCAGCTTGCTTGCATGGTCAGAACCTTTATCTTCATAAAGCAAAGATCCGAAAAGTTCAACAAAGGCACGTGCTAATCAGTGATTCAATATGAGAAGATTATAGCTAATCCAAATAATCATCCGTTCAGCAGTACCTTGCGATATAAGAGTAGACCAGTACCTTGTAGGCATTTAAAATACCTTTGGTTTCAAATATACATGAACAGGTGTGACAGAATTCTGCAAGTCTTGCTCAGGTAGCGGGGCGTGGGACTCCACGGTCAGGCTGCTGCTGCCCCACATACCTGCTGGTGCATGTGCTGCTGTGGTTCCCACACTGCTCCTTCCTCTGCCCTGAGCAATGCACGGCGGTGGGCTCCCTGCCCGAGCCGCGATCAGGCAGGAGGCGAGGGCTGGGTCCACTCCTCACCTCGGAGCACTGATATTCCTTATGCCCTTACGGTGGTGGAGAATAGGCGGTGGGTCGTATGAATTTTTTATTTTATTAAATTTAAACAAAGTGATGGTAGAAGATGCTGGCCAGCCCATCATCTGACCAGGGTATCTGCTATTGATACAGGACTTCACACAAACCACCGTTCCAGTCGGTGCATGTTGTAGAAGGTGGCAGCACACTACCATTCGCAATTCGATCCTGTTTCCTTCCTTGTGGTGAGATTTAACATAAAGTAAACTCGCCAACTGTAAAATTCTTTCGGGAAAACATGTTACTTTTGTGTGGAAAATAAATACTGACATAAATAATCTATAAAGCTTTAATAATGCTTTATTCTTTAAGGCTTTACTAAAGCATCTACCAAAAACTTCTACGATATCTTCAGTTTAAATTTCTATGGAAATTATACATTATAGTCTACAAAAATAACTGCTGGCCAATATTGAGAGAAGCTGTAACTCATACCAGAAGTAGCAGTGACTACGTGGAACATATAAAATAGTGCTGAATTCTTCACACCAATCAAATGAGTAAGTAAAAACTACAATTATTTCTTTGCAAAATAGCAACAGGTCTAAGTGTACAGCTTGTATCTAATTTGCATTAATATCCTTCATTTAGTTTCACATCAGAGGGATGCTATGAATGCAGAAAGTAATGAAGACGCAGGATGATCAACAAAACAAAGAAAGGTTATGGGCTGCTGCTCTGCCTCCCCGGCGGGTCTGATTCCACAGCCTTTGCAGAGTAGCAGGAGACCGACCCCTCCTCGGCTGCGGGCAGAGGGGAAAGTTCATGATCATTTTTTTCTTCGACCAAAACGTTGATCTTTCCTGTTTAGGAAAAAAATACATTTTTTTAGCCAAGGAAAAATGCATGTTTACTCAGCCTTCTTTCTGTCAACTGGGCTCCTCAGAAAGGCCATAAAAAGTGGTATTTTACTAAAGAGGAGGAGGTTTGGATTATCACAGGGACTTTCTCTTAATAATCTATTTCCAAAGTAAATTCTACAAAATTATTTTAAAAATTGAACCAGACTCCTTTTTAAAAAGAAGAAAATGATTTGGAAGCATAATCTCCATGTTATCAGAAAACTACCAAGACTCAGAAAAAGGCAAAGACTCATAATGCAGAGACCAAGAGAACATATGAGCTATTACAGAATATTGGATTAAAATGTACTTACCCAGGACTCTCAGATATCATACATCTCCATTATGTAGGCTTTCGGCACCAAGCCAATGGCTCCCTTCATTTCTCCTACCCACCAGCCATATCTATTGTATTCCTAATTGAAAACAATATGCAATATTAACCTTTAGGCTGGTGGAAGTACAATGTCCTTTGTGTGCAACTTCTGAGAAATGTTATTTCTTTTTATAAAGTTACAAGAGCTTGAGCTGCAAATTGAAACATTTTCATCTTTTTTTGTTCCTGGACACTTTAAAAATGCGGCTAGGCAAAGATTTAAATTAAAGTATAAGACAAAGCCTGTTTATTACTGGGTGTAGAACACAGAAACAGTCACTTATAAGAACCTAACAAGTGAATCAACCTCCCTCCCTGATTCCCTCCCTCCTTCTTTCCCTCCCTCCTTCCCTCTTTCCCTCTCTCTTCTCTGCTAGGGGCTGCAGGGTCACAGCCAGGATCCTTTGGATACTACCTTTGCCTTCAAGAAGCTTACCATCTAGCAAGGATAGAATTTATTTTTCACAATAAATTACTTAATTCCTATTTAAACTCTTATGACCAAAAATGATTAGAATATAGAGGTATGCCTCTTCTTAAGAAAATCTTGTATAAGCACATAGACATTTTAAACAGACAAATTAGAGAAAATAAGGAAACACTAATAACGCGTCCCCCCAATTCTTAATAAAACCATTCACAAAAGGGCTCCTTTAAGAAAGCTTCCCTAAGGCATCTGTTGTCTTTTATTGATCATAAACTACAATAGATAAAGGATGGGGAGAAGGAATTTAAAGATGGTGTTAGATTCTCCCTTACAGTAGAAGATTAATGGGAAATAAAAGTATCCCAAGTTATAAAGGCGAAATACTAACCCAGCTGTAAAAGAGAGCGAGTGAAGGGCCACCTCGCCTTTACCGTGTCCTGTGAGATAGGCCTGCACCTCCGCTCCTCCCCTTTGCCTCCACGGCAGACACACCACTGCTTTAGGCACCGTGAGCACTCTGTAACCAGTCTCATAGGTCTGCCAGGTTGACTAATGTACTTTTATCTCAAACTTATTTCTGCTTCGTGAGAAAAACAAAGTAAAATGAATTACAAGTTTCAAGAATAATATCTTTCCAAAGCAATACTCTACAAAAGCATTGGAGGACCCAAATTTAATTTTTCCTAAAGATAAATTTTTAAAATCAATCCCCAAAGTAAGTCAATAGGCTATGATTTTCCAACATCTGAGTCCCAGATAAATGGGTCGCTTGTGGGAGGGAATGTTAATCCAGGCACAGACTTAGCATCTGTGCTGATTAGGATGCCACTGACCGTCAGAAAGGAAAATCACAGTCCTTCAGTACAAATGCAGCAGCTTTAAGTGTGTACTGATACGCAGTCTATCGATAGATTATGGGGCTAAGTCTACATGTGCTTTTTGAACTGTGACGTACCAGAATGAGGTTTACTCAAAGAACAGGGTGGAAGGAGAGGGGACAAAGGCTTCTGATTCTAACGAGAGCACATCTGGCTCATGATTTGAAGTTTAAAAGTTCTCTGATCGTGTGAACTTAGTGGACAAAACTGCCTAAGAAACGGACAGAGTCTGATGCCCAGAACTCAGTGGTGATGACTATCATGTATGTAGGCTGTATTTACCAGAAGAAAATACCAACTTACTGAAAGCTAAGATTAGCAACCATTATACCCTAATAGGTACCTAATAAAACTGCCCTTTTCAATTTTTAAGGCAATGAGTACAATTAGAGCCTACTGCTTAACAAAACAAACGTATTTAACCTTTCAGAGGCCAAAGTCTTACCTTGTAAAATCTCAAAATAGATGGTTAATAGGGTAAACGTAAGTGTGAGAGCTCTGACCCAACACCGGTCTGTTTTTCCAACTGATTATTGGAAGGAGTGAAGAAATTAAGGCCCGAAAGGACAGGCACAGAACACATGCAGTGAGAGGCATATTATGACCCAAACCTGCTTTTAGAGAAGAGCCCACAACCTGGCTCTCAATGTTTAGATTCCAATTACAAACCAGAAAGTCTATAATATTCTGCTGTGGTTATAACCTGTGCTCTCAGTTAAAGATATAGTATTGTTCCCAAGAAGCTGACTCACACCCAAATTTAAGAAATTGATTTCCAACAAATCACTTCAACAAAGGACCGATGGCATTCTTCACACGTGAGAGCATTCTGCCTGACAGTAACGGGTAGGATTCATTAAGTGGGAAACACGGTAGTAAACAGCAGGGAGGAGCTTAGCCAGCTGTAAACAGGTCTCTTAAAAGAAACATTCCAGGGGGGAAAAAAATAAAGTTCTAGACTGAAATCCTCTTAAATGCTTCACTTAATTAATTTAAAATGATTGAAAACCATATGAAATACACACCTCATAAAAGTACTCTAAAATATCACAGGTTTAAATCAGAAAAAGGTATAAATAAAAAACCAGAGTGTTTATTACTTTGCATTTGTAAAGGATTCCATATAATACTCCTGTGTGGAATTAAGAGGTAAGATAAAATACAGTGAGGTAAAAATCTAGTAGGCAAATTTATGGGTTTACACCGCGGCCGCAAGAGCACGTCGACAAGACTGCAAACACAGAAGCTGTTACTTTTATCATTACCATCCTCTGTATGAGCCTCCTGAGCAACATGAATCCCAATTAAACCATTTGCAGCCGATAAAAGGGGAGGAAGATGCTTCTTGGAGTACAGTATTCTCAACTTCAGCCTGAAGATTCACTATCATACGAGGCTGCCTTTGAAGAAGGAAATCGGCCTTTCTCTGCCTTCCCCCAAACAAATGTGATTCTGAATGATAGATTACTTACAGTGGAAAATAATACAATCCACACAATCTCGTCTTGCAGTCCACATACTGAGTATAGATAGGATTGTTCTAAAAGTCACAGGTGGGTCATTAAAAAATACAGCAACTCTCAAGCCTGATCTTGTTCATAAACAAAAAATAAAGAGACAGAACCATAGCAGGCTGCCATCTGAATCTCTGAAAAGTTAGGAAGCATCATGTCATCTCATGGCTCACGAGAGCTCAGGTACAAGAAGATCTGCCATCTGGTATCCCTCACCCTCCTCGGCTCTTAACGTCAACTGAATGCTAGCGTAGGCCAGTGACTGCACTTCAGCAGGACTGATAAAATAATGAAGAGTCCTTTAATCTACAGGAAACCATTCTAGTCAATTTATAAGAAATATTGCATCCCTTTGTAGGACGTGTAATTATTTTCTATTAATCATGTGCTATAAAGCTACATTATGCGGTTATTCTGTTATCACTGGGAAGGGGCCTGCAGTCAGCTTCTGACAATGTTAGGTAATTACTGACACAAAGCTTCTTTCTCTTCCTGTAGTAATGCCTTCGCGATCCAGAGGTGTAGGGATGCTGATTGTCTGAAAACAGCGCTCAAATGGAATTCAATATCTGCCACATGGATGGCTTCGAGGCGAAATGTGATGTGGCAGTCAAAGCAAAAAGCCCAACGCCCAGTCATCCGCGGGAATCATCGTAAAGCCGCCCCAAATAGTTGTGATCTAACTCCTGTTTTCAATTTTCACACCATTACAATCGCTTCCATTACTTTTATTGTGTAGTTAAAATTTTAGGCCTAGATTAATAGGTATTCAGCAATAGATTAAAGTGATTGAGTAGTAAGGTAGGGAAAAGGCACTAGTTTTGATAGAGTGAAACGGGGTCCTGAGCCAGCACCATAGTAGACGTAGGCCCGTGTTCACTCACTGACTGAATCCCGGTCTGTGCATGTGTTATTTTACACTTACCGGAGGCCCGACACTTACTACTTAAACCCTTTGCAGCGCCATGAGTCTCATTGTTCAAGTATGCTAACCCACTTTAGGCTAACCATATGGTAAAGGAATGGTGCCTAACAGAAACCTGAAACACCAATAAGATGCTGTGATGTGCTACTCCTTTCAGAAATTAGTTACCAATCTGTTTGAAAGCTACAGGTGTTCGAAAGGCCAGTTCTTCAAACATGTATCTCTCTTCCAACTATTCCCTGTGATATTTTCCATTTCTCAAATTATTCATACACACGGTAATAGTATGAACATTAGATAACGATTTAAAACACGGAGAACCTTTCTTCAGGTTACCTCTTTCAAGAACTTCCACCATCTCCCCACGCGCTGACTGCTGGCAGGGTGGGGGAAGCCACGCGAGGAGGCCACAGGCAGTGCACCGAGGAGCTAGTGGAAGGTCTTGAGCAGCAGAGTAAGCTGACAAAGGCAGTTCCCGAGATGAACAGAGAGGCAGAACTGATGCTGCAACAATCCAGGTGAGGTGAGGAGGCCTGAGCAAGCGTGGTGACGGCTGGCATGGAAGGGGTGGGTGAGCCTGGGGGCAGTTATCAGTCGTGTGTTGGTTGGTGAAATACACTGAGTACCAAGGCCACCTTCTACTGAGCCTGATTTGATCTTTCTTTGCTGACAGTACCTATGAATCATCAAGTGAAGTCTCCTTTCATCACCACTTACCATATCAATAGATGCCGAAAAGGGATTCAATAAAATCCAGCACCTATTTATGGTAAAAACTCTTGGCAAAGTGGGAATAGAGGGACTATACATCAGCATAAGAAAAGCCATATGTCACAAACCCAAAGCCAAAATCAGACTCAACTGGCGAAAACTAAAAGCGTTATCCTTAAGATCGGGAACCAGACAGGGATGTGCACTTTTACCACTCTATTCAAAATAGTTCTGGAAGTCCTAGCCACAGCAATCAGACAAGAAGAAGAAATAAAAGGCATCCAAACTAGAAAGAAGTAAAACCATCATTATTTGTAGATGACATGATACTGTATATAGAGAATACTAAAGAATCCACCAAAAACTACTAGAACTGATAAAGGAATTCAGTAAAGTAGCAGAATACAAAATAAAAATCCAGAAAACAGTTGCATTTTTAATCACCAATAATGAACTACCAGAAAGGGAAACTAAGAAAACAATCCCCTTTGCAACTGCATAAAAAACAAACTACCAACTCACCTAGAAATAAATTTAACCAAGGATGTAAAAGACCTGTACTCAGAAAATTATAAGACACTGAAG